TAAAGGCAAGAATACGTACTCACATGTACCAGACTAATTAGACCAAACAGACAAAATGTCTTTCAATAGTTTTTTTAGATTTACTTTCCCCCTGTTTTGCTCTCAAATCAGTATAACAAAACTATATGTTGTTTGGGAACTTTAAAGATGCAGCATGACAGGCTTAAGGATAACATAGTTCATAGTTCAATCACTGAATTGTAAACAAAGTCATTCAGAATGGTTTGATGTGAAATGATGCACTGTAGAGAAACTTACCACCACAGATTTCTTTAAAGGGGAATTCCACTGATTTTTCTAAATTTCTCTATAACTGTTAAGTTGTAAACAGTTATTTAGAGTGGTTTGATGATAAATGCTCTGCTGTAGAGAAGCTTACCAAGTCAGAATTGTTTACAGTGGTGGTGATAGTAACCACACACACACACACACACACACACACACGCCCACGCACACGAGCACACACGCACATACATACACATCATCTAAACCACTTATCCCTCTGGGTGTGATAGTAACCAGACGTCTGAAAAGTTTAATGCCTCTAAAAGCTACATCACAAAAAGCTTTCTTAACATGCAAAGTTTATGAATATCCTACCTGGTGCCCTAGACATTGCTTTATGATAGTTTTGAGAAAAACTTTTGGGCTTCAATGTACTTTTCAAAATCTATCAATGGTGGAGAGAAACATTTAGGGTGTTACAAGGCAATAAAACTTTGATTTTTATATTTAGACTATTTTACCTTTATCAACATCAAATATAAAAACTCAGAAGGCGTGTGCAGGTTTGCTGGTGGTTTGGAAGGTGAATAAAATGGCTTTATTAGTGTTGTAGTCATCATGATCTGTAAAGAAATCTGAGTCGCTAAGTTTCTCTTCGATGAGCCATTTCACATCAAACCACTCTGAACGAGTTTGCTTACATCCCAATGATTGAATCGCGCATATATTTTGAAAAATGGGTGGAATTCCCCTTTATGATCAACGATCTCGATAGGAATAGCTTTTTCTATTGAAATCACCCAGTGAATCTAAACGTGAGTGTCTGAGTTTTTCCTTTTTCTTGACTCTTCGTATGTGATGTTGATGCTGGTAAAATAGTGGAAAATAAATTTTTAAAAAGTTTTCTCTGGGCACCATTTTGCCTCGCCCTGCATGTACCCCTCTGCCCTGAACTTCATTTAAAAATACATTTTAAACTAAAACCTGGTTTCAAAACAGTGTCTCGGGCATCATTTTCTTAACCACAGTGTCCATAACAGCTTCAGACGTCTGGTTCCTATCACCACCACTGTGAATGATTCTGACTCTGTGACACAGTTTCTCTACAACGGAGCATTTCACATCAAACCACCCTCAACGACTTTGTCTGCATCCACTGAATTATGTAAGTTACACGCTTTGAAAAAGGTGGCATTTTTCTTTGAAGAAAGCGAGAAATGAAAGGGGGTGGACAGCGTTTCAATTTTAAGTCCATGTCAGCAAACTTTTTCTGATTACCCTCCCGTAATTTATCAAAGTCGTGTCAGGCAAGAAAGGCAGTTAGCTAACCTACCTAGTTAATGAAAAACTTAGAAATGGACGACTGACTTAGCTATAACGAACAATACAAGCATTCCCCAGTAAGTTAACTAACACTAGTGTGATTTGTAAACTTTTCTTCGACAGCTGGGCAGCTGGGCTAACGTTAGCGGGTTAGCTTACTAGCTCATTAACTCCACACAATAGCGGGCAGCGAGGGAGTGACTGGAGAGGCTGTGAGTGTCCACTGGCCAAACCCACAGTGAGAGAGAGAGATGTGCCACAGAGAAAGGCGATGATGAACCCGGTTAGGACTACAGTGAGCCAACACAGCCGGAGTAAACTAGCTAAAAAGCTAAAAAAAAAAAAAGTTAGTGAACTTTACTCACCAAAACAATGGCGAATTTTTCCTCTAGTTCCCCCGGGTCCGGCATGGGCAGTTTTAAAGGCATGCCGTGTCCCCTCATGTCACTCTGCTGGTCTATACTCCCCGCGTTGCCCATGTTTTAGTCCGCTGCTGTGCCACTTGTACACTCTTGTGTCTGACTTTGAAATGTTGAGCCGTTTGCCTTATGAACGCTGCGTTTTCTGCCTTTTCTGGCTCCGCGGCTGCTGCGTGTCTGACAGACTTTAGCCCTGCTGCTGCTGCCGTGCCCTTTCACGAAAAATCCACTTAGAAGAAAACAATAAGATTCGCTCGACCCGACCGAGCGACTCTTCCTCAAGCATTATTATACCGCCAGGACTGATCCGGGAACAATTTAAAGCCAGCAACAGTGGAGCATCTGCACGTGAAAGAAAAAACGTGCCTTATCCGTATCTTGCACAATTTCCACACCACTCCCAGTGAGCTGTGTAAGTGACGATGTGCATGATTCAGACTTAGTGGTTCCCCGTCTGCACAGCTAGAGGGCTAATCCTGCCAGTGCTGACCACGTCTTGATTGTCCCTCCTCTCCTCTCCTCTCTGCTCTACTCTGTGCTCCGTTTACAATCGCATCCTTACACAATACTCCCTTTCACACTGGCCTCCCACTTTTTGGGCGTGCCAGAAGTCCTACTTGTGGAGACCGTGTTCACTTCTGTTGCATGCTGGTATTTGAAGTTTCCCGTTTCCTAACAGCCTAACAACTTTTTCAAAGATCAACAATCCCAGCTTAAACACAAAGGACCGAGAAGTTTCATTATTATGTAACCAAAACATGTTTTATTTCTCAACTGACATCCACAGGTGGCCTCTTGTCCAAAACTCCAGTGACATCAGTTGGGAGTGTTCTTACTTGTCCAGATGGACAATTTCATAGAACTTGCAGGGCGTTATCCATATCAGAGTTCAGCTGGCAAAAAACAAAACTCACAGCCGAGTCTGAACACATGCACATAAATGTCTCAAGATTACTGACAGCCAAACTCTTTGTACTTTGGGGACAGAAATGTTTTATGTCATGTTTTCTGTAGAAATGTGTGCCTCACATGCTGGCGTACATCACGTAGTCATGTGTACAGACCTACCCTTAGAAGCAGTAAGTAGGAGAGGCCTACCAGCATGACTACAGAGCCACACAGATATACAAAACTTTAAATTCTAATTATCCGTCCACTCTGAGCTTAAAGAGATTCCATTCTTTTGTCAGCTCCCACTCTTGCAGTTTGGATGAGAATTGTGCATGTGGTGTTGAAGGCAAAGGGGCATTGAATTCACCTGCAGTGAAAAGATTAAGTTAGTGATGTGTTTGAGTGCATTAGTGTGACCGTGAGTCAGGGTTCCTATGTGCCAGAGGGGTCAATAGTTCATTTGATAGAGAGAAAGGAGAAAGAGGCAGATTTTAATACCAGGGCCCAGATCATGGAACACCAAATTTCCTTCACATTTTTTAAATAAAGGGTTTTGAAGTAATATATAAACTTTGTTAAAGTTTTTCAAAGGTACCCATCACTACCCAGTCCATACAGTCCATATATGGAAACTAAACTACAAAACAATCCATTTTGTGTCTGTGATGTCACAAGATCCAACTCATTTACATATTTTCGCCTATTCAGACTACAGCATCTTAGCCCCTCCCATTCAGAAGTTATAGGGAGTGTTTTAGCCCAGACTGCTTTTTGAATGAAGCACAATACAGGATAGCCAATCAGAACAGAGCTCATTTACACATGTCAGTTTTAAAGGTGCAGTAGTTAAAGCAGCTTGTTTAAATCCAAAGGAAAAAGAGAGAATGGACAATGGTCATAACAATGAATGACTATTTCTGGTATATAAAACCACACAAATGTTATAAGGGTACCTTAAGGGAAAAATACAATACATGAAAATGTTAACAATAAGTGTCCTTTAAGTCCACATAAAATGAACAGGTTTGCTTCCCAAGGACATGGCCACACTAAGCCTGATCAGAAATCAAGTATTTTCTTCCCATACTGTGATGTATTTCCAAGTGAAACACTATTAGGGAGGGTCCCTGAGTTTGCAGAGCGTTTTTGCTCAATGATAGGTGGGGGTGGAAGAAGGGGAAGATGAGACATGATATCATATAATCAAAACCTAGAATATGTTTTTGAGGTTGGCAAAAATCGATCAAAGACTACTGAAAGAATGTTGTCTTTTAAATGGTATAGTGTGATGAATCATGCTAATCATAATATAACCAGGGACATAAACAAACAAGGTAAAAGGGTCAATTTTGATTTCAGGTTGACTTAAACATTCTGTATTTTACTCCACGTAGAGTGGAAGGAAGTGTGACAGTCAATAGGAACACAGCCCACAGCTGGTGAAACTTTAGTAGCCTAAAGAGACCCTCTGCATTTTAAGTGCACTACAAGGAAATGTAAAATGCCAGACAGTTGCCAAAAATAAAGTTAGAACAATAAAATCTCTATGTCAGGGGATCTCTGAGGGACTCCAGCTCACAGATGTTGCTAAATTCGTCTGCATCGCAGCCAAAGGAAGCAGTGTTCTTAGGCTTGGATTGCACACTCACGAGAGAGCAGAGAAAGAGAACACACAGAGGAGACATTGTAGTCTGAGCCAGAGATGCCCCACACTTAAACCATACTCATTCTTTAACTCAGTCAGGAGAGAGCTTCATTCAAGCCAGCAGATGCTTGTCGTTTTTGAGGATGAAGTGTTTAACAACATTCATTTCCATTTTGGTTCCCTAGTTAAGCATTTATAAAGGGCCTCATAGTGAATTCCATGATCATGTTGTGGATCAACTGTGTTTGTTATTTGAATTCTGCTGTTATATTACTTTAAAACAGTGCAGAAAAAAGTCCTGTTGGATGAATTTGGTCATGGGAGGGTCCTGTTCTCCACTCTAGTGGGTGGGAACTTTGCACAGGACACCATGAAGCAATAGCAACATCTAGTGGACGTAACTTCGTGGCCCATTCTGGTAACACACTACACATCCCGAGATTGCTTCCAATGTTTTGAAAGATACCTGTTTTCAAAACAATACAAACCAGAAACCGTTATTTGTGATAAAAATTTATTCTATAACAGTGAGTTACTACAGTTGTAGTGTTCTCAATACAATGTAATCTACACTTTGTCAAACTAGTACATGTAAAAATTAAGCAAATATAATCTACATACACATGTAACGTAAAACATACAATTGAACTTCCTGTAACAGTAAGTGCTTCTTCTGAAAAGTTATTCTTGAAAGATGGTGATGAGTGAGTGGCAACGTCTCCAAACAAATGCATCAAAGCATTAAAGCTAACATGTCTGTGCTTAAATAGTACTACATACAATAGTTCTAATAGAGAAGCCCCCCCCACACACACACAGTAATGCTGGTCTCTGAGCACACAAACACACTTATGAGTTTGGGATTGTTTGTTTAAAGAGCAAAATAAAACTTAACAAATTTAAATACTGCATATATTCCATCACATGAAACCTGGAATGTGAGTAACATTAAAGTAATTTTATAAATACCTCAACACCTGATATTGTGTCTGGTGTTCACTGCCAAAATGGTATAAGTAGAAGAGTAGAAAAGAGTAAAAGTGCAATAAAAGCAAACGTAGAAAAGAGTGATCCAAACCTATCTTCATTTTACCTCCATCAGGCCAAGTGAGTGAGAGCAAAACCAACAAGCTAAGAAGAGAAACGAAAAGCATAATAAAGAAATATAATTCATTCATTTTGTACTACTTATTCCTCCTCTTCCTCTTCCCCTCCTCCCATCACCTCTACAATCAGTTCAGCCGTGCAGATGGCCTCCCCGAGGCTGTTGACCGCTTTGCAAGTGTACTTTGCGTCATCATCTCCGCTGACCTCAGAGATAACCAGGCTGCAATTCCCATCCTCATCGTAATCGATCTGGAAATGACGCGTCTCTTTAATGGGCTGATCGTCCTTATACCACACCACCTCAGGGTCCGGATAACCTGAGGGTAAACAAATACAATGTGATCACAGGATAATCTGAGGGTGAACAAGCACATGTAAACACATGATGACTCAAGGGTAAATAAATATGAAAATACATGTTCACACAAGTTTACAGATAATCAAATAAACATAAATTACTTATGAGAGAGTGATACATAGAGGTACACTGTAAATCCTGATGGTTTTTGTTACATTTTTTAAATGTCACACTGTTCCCCTATTTGAGACCAAATTGGGAACAGCTTGACTGTAACACCTGTTTGAAAGCTAATCACCACAGGATTATTTTTTCAACATAGTTTTGTTCTCAGATTTGTGCTTGAATAAGGGAACAGCTCTGACATGCTCATAAAAGTGTATGATATTGGCTATTGAAACATACAATACTGTGCAAAAATCTTAGCAGCAATAAAAATGTTTAAACTATTTATCTCAGTCGTAAGCGTGTTTTTGCCTGTAAAAACTATGTTTGTGAGTTCTGACCATGCCCTTAACATGTGCTGGTAGTATGAGGGAAAATTGATTGAGAAGCTGGGAGAACATTAAGAACTTGGGCTGGAGTTCTGGGCAGCCTCTGCCTCTAGCTAGAAGGCCAAACCTCCCTTGAAGCTGTAGTAGGACTGATGCAGGACTGAGGAACAGGGAGGAGATGGGGTGGTGGTGGGGATTGCGAACACTTTTTCACAGGAACGGAAGGTGAGGATGTGAATTTATAGGGCGTTAGATTGGAAGAAGGAGGAGTTTCAGCTGTGTTCCTCCCCCAATCTTCAGTTAAACATAACTACATTATAACATTAGAATAAATACAAATAACTATAAAACAAATAGTAACAAAAATGTCTTATTTTCAAGAAGTTATTCACAAAAAGAAGGCAGTCAGAAAACCACAAGCTTTGTTTCTGATTCTTTGTGCACTCTAGCCACTGCATGGAGCAGCACACCTGATTTAAAGATGCACTATGTAACATTTGGGGACTTGGTGAAGGATGTGTCTTCCGAGGATGTAAGTGGTTTATCTACTATTTTCATCATATCTTCATCAGCATAAAGTTGATTTTGCATTGGAGACCTATACATTGAGTCAGACCTTCTTTTTGAGGTTGTGCATGTGGCGCTAATACGTATACGTATAACATGGGCCAAAAAACACCCACAAAATCCAACCCAACACCTCAGACTTTTTAAAATCATTATTTTTGACTTTATAGGGTGACTCGCAGCAGCACACACATTTGTTTTATTGTGTTTTTTTTCTTCTGACTTAGTAATGCTTGTTCTTTCAAATTTGACAAAAGAATTTACGTAGTGCAGCTTTAATTTAATGAAGGATTAATTGGCTGAATTATGTTTCGGATGGTAACTGTCAAAACTGGACTGACTCAAGGAGAGGTTTGGAAATGGTTAAGCTAACACACTGACACATAAAATCACAATGAATTGATTATTTGTTTTTATTCTAATATTAGTTTTGTTAATAAATTATTATTAATATGGCCTAAGACATTTGCACAGTGCTGTGAGTAATGGCTAAGATCAAGATAAGCAGTCGTGCTGGTGAAGTGCTGCAGTCTATGATCCAGTACCCTCAATCTTGCAGTCGAAGCGTGCAGCACTGCCCTCCACCACCTCCACGTCTTTTATCACTGAAGTGAATGTGGGCTTCATCGGGCTCCTCTCCTCACTCTCCTCTGGGAACTGGTTCTCCTCTGCATCAACACAAGCCATGCAACATGATCAGAATTATCATAAATAATATTATAATGAAAAACAAAGACCAGAAGGGCCATGTTATGAATTTAATTAAGCACAGTGCATTAAAAAAATTGTGGTCAGACCAGTAATGTCAGTGTTAGATGACACTGAAGAGTATATTAGTCAGCTGTATCATTTGTGCAACTTCTAATTATGGAACATTAGGAAATTACGTGGTCAAATTGACATTCCAGAAGAAAATATTTATTACAACATTTTTCCACATTAATGACATCACTTCTCTAGGCTTTGATGAACTAATTAACATTTTGGACATCCATTAATGACGAGGCAGTGGCTCTTGCTGTGCCCGTCTCTATGTGGGCATTAACCAGACGGGGTCAGGAGTTCACCGGCTGGCATTAATAAAACACAGCGATGGTTGAAAGACTGTGCACTGTGAAGAAAAGCTGTTGCCATGGTACCTTCTGTAGGGGAGCCCTTCTTGGCGTGGACACCGGCCATCATAGCCATGGAGGAGAGCCGGCCTATTGCGCGCACCGCATGACCCGTTTTCTGTAAAAATGATTAATGTACATGTTAAGGACATATTAGCAGATTTTACTGACACTGGGAGTCAGTCTACATCAGTATCTGTAGATTAACACCAACAACAAGCTCCGACATTTGCAGAAAAGGATTTATTGCTGGAGATGAATAAAGCTCAGGGGTGTTTTGTCCATTATGCGCACTTGAGTGCTCCCTACCAGTTGCCAGGAGTGAATAAAGAAGACATAATCATATTGAAATATATTTTCTACTAGTTGTTTGTTTGATATATGTCTGTGAAACAGGCCAGTCTATAAATTAAATTTTAATGTTAAGTGGATGTAATTCATGTTTAAACAGAACAAGAATCACATTATTAACACATTATTATTCATGCAAGTTTATTACTGCTGTATGTATTCTGAATATTCTGGATGATACTGTCTTTTAGCTTTGTGGCCAAAGGTCTGTATATATTGACTTATGTACATATTGATTATCTTATTTTTGGAGATTTCATATCTTCAGGGGTACTTACTGAATACTGTGCTGATTGTGTTTTTGAACTGGCTGGTTGTGATAGGGTTGGTATTGGGCTTTTTATCTCTAGGTTAATAATGCAGATTAGATGCACTGTCCATCTGTTTTGTCATGTATTTTTGGCTTATAACACACTATTAAGTTTATCAGGCTGAAGGTTCTCAAACAAGTGAGAACTTTTAGCACTCAAAGAACTTTTGTGCATTGTTCGAATGGAGGAACTTGCATAAACAATGGTTATGGAAACAATTATGGTTATGATATGAGGAACATTAATTTCATCAGCTATGTTGTGGATGACCACAAGCAGAAAAGCAGCAGGGGTGGAAGAGTGGACACAATGTGAATAGGGCAAGGCTGCAAGAGGAGGTCCAGGCGTCCAGTATGAGACCAGGCCACTGCATTAGAGTGATGAATAATAACACTGCCCTCCCTGCTGACAAAACCATGCCACATCACTGATAAAGCTTGCACCCCATTTATCATTCCCTTCAGCTGAGACAGAGGCATGGGTGGGCCTCCTGTGTGGTGCTGTCTCTGCTCACCTGCCACTTCCTCCTCAGGATGTACTTCTTCATCCTCTCCTTGGAGAGCTTCTTGGCCTCCATGTTCTTGGTGTCCTGTTTAAGCCAGGGGTGCTGAAAGCACTGCTCACAGGTCAGACGAGCACTGTAGCAAATACAGGTACAGAGTTTCACACACTGAGAACTCACCGTTCTCTTTTTAATAACTGATCAAATTTTTACCACTACATCTTGAAATGGCTGATTCATTCTTAACTAAGTTACCCTTTAAAGTCTTTCAATTTTTAAGCTTAAATGCAGGACCTCCTTTACCCCGAAGGAAATTCTACAATATTGACACAATGTTCGCTTGGAATTTTGGAATTGCTTGTGATATTAATCATTTTAATAGCTGTCAGAATTAATTTACACCATGTAGATTGAAATTATTGTAAATGAGACACTAAAAGGTAGACTATATGGCCAAAAGTTTGTGGACACCTGCTCATCCAATGTTTCTCCCAAAATCAATAGTATTAAATAGAAATTTGTCCCCCTCTGCTGCAATAACTGTCCTTACTACTCAAGAAAGGCTCTACACCAAATGTTGGAACATTGCTGTTAGGATTTGATTGCATCCAGGAGTGGGAGCACTAGAGAGATCAGGTACTGATGTTAGATGACTAGTTCTGGATCACAAATTCCACTCCAACTCCAAAGGTACTGGTTGATGCTCCATCACTGTAGAGAACATAGTTCCACTGCTCCTCAGCTCAATGCTGGGAGGCTTCATACACCTCTAGCCTACATCAGCCTACTCCTGTGTCAGCAGTGAGTGCACCTTAATGCAGCTGAATTCACTAATAAGAAAGGGAGTCCACAAACTTTTGGACATATAGTGTATTTTGATGCTTTATTCAACAGTTCATGTCTTTAGGGAACCTCAAGAAGTTGTAAACTGATTAAAACAACAAACAAAAAAAAACACACGATATACTTATCTACTTATAGTTATTTTGTACCAAGTAATCTGCTTCAAGATTGATCACCAATCAATTCTGGATGTTACAGATTTCTTACTTGTTACAGAATCTCTACTTGTTACTAGAATCACATTACAAACATTTTCTCATGTGTGTGCTGCAAAATGAGTGTTTTACTGAAGATGGTAATTCTGACATTTATATGTATGTAAAGACAATCAAAAAGTACTACACTGCCACTTTGAGAAGTGTAAGGGCAACTGAATTAATTCATTTAGCTCTAAATGGGCTCTTAAGCATTCACTTTGACAGTTAATCAACACCTGATGGCAATCATCAACTGTTAGAGTGAAAACACTTGTTTTAACTGATCAAAGCTATTTGCTGTGACTCAGTGTAAAAACACTCCCATCCCCTGATTATTCAAAACTGTTTAAATGTGTGAATTTCTCCACTGCTATTAAGTGGAAGTGTTTGGGTACAACAGCCATGCTGGATGAAGACTCTAAAGCATATGAGAGAACTGTACTAAAACCGTTAATCATTATTATTCTGGTTTTATGTAGCATTTGGCCATAATTAAAGAAATACCATTTAATGTCTATATTTCATTTCTCTACCACTTTTCCTTACCTAGAGTAACACATAGTAGTGATACAGAACTCACGTCTTGTCTTTCTTCAGCAGATTGCTGATGAAGTCTTTAGCCTCATCTGAAATTTCATCAAATGCCTCATCCTCAAAGTCCCAGGTTGCCGAGGTAACGTTAGCCAGCGTCTCGTTATCATTGTCCCCCATGAACGGAGACAAACCGCTCACACTGCAGGGAGACAAAATAAGAGACAAGACAGTAGACAAATATCAAAGAGACAGACAGAATGGCAGTGGAAGCGCATAGAGCGAGGGGCTGTGTGAAACAGCGAGGCAATTTGAGAGCAAACAGCAGCACTAAGTTTGATCTGTGTAACAGCCGTTCAGCATCTAGCTGTGGTCACTGTGTAATTCCATCATTCTGCAGTGTCTCTGTGCTGAGAGCAGTAGCTGCAAGTGAATACTTTAACTCTGAGCAAGCCGATCACTATCAGACTGTGCTGAGTGAAAATCCCCCCGGAACAGACGTGGCAGGATCCTGCACAGATGTTTCCTCACTCTGCTAACTATTTCTTCATCATCTTCATTTAATCAATTATGTTACAAGCCTTTAAACATACCCAACAACTGCAAGGACTGTCAAAAGATTGGAGCCTTGTTTTCTTTTGAAATGTGAATTTTCTCTTTTCTCGCTGTTACTTTTCAATTAAATAAGGGAGAAATAGATGCAAAGATTTGGTTAAAGGGTTAAAAGGGAATTAAACCCATAATTCAATACTAAATAAACCTGGTTAGTCTTTAATATGCTAAGTTATTAAATCCTCATTTGGATTAAAATCAGTTTGAAAGGATCTTCTAACTTTTATCAGGCAATGTATTTGATGTCCTCTGTTGCCTTCTGGAGTTTTGAAGGCTAATTTAAGAAACCAACACAAAAGTGTTAACATTTTGATTCCACTAGGTCCAAGCATAATTCCAAGCATAACCGTCAGACAGTGGCTTTGCCTTTCCTCCCTTTAATGCTAAGCCACTTGAGCTGGACTGTCTGGAACCTGGAATCTCCAGACTAGCATTAGTGATAGATCAGAGAGAGGCCACTGTGCTACCACACAGCCACACATTTCTGCAAACACAAGAAAGCTCACAGGAGCTCCAACTCAGTATTAGAAACATTAAAGGGAGCACCAGAGTCCTCACATATTTCCCTCTCCACACTCACAGCCTCTCCTTAGATCAACCACCTACTGCTGTGAATGTAAACTCAGTCTGACTCCCACCTGCTTACACATACATCTCTGAAGCACACATCACAAATCTCTAACACATGGAAAACCAGACAAAATTTCAGCTGGATTTCCTGATAATATCCAAGACACAAAGCTGTGACAGACTAAGAGAGTAGCAACTTAGTCTGTCTCTTGAATCATACAGTAGGCCCAAAAAGTATTTAGACACTTGTACCATACATAAAAATGTATTCAGTTCATTGTGTTAGCAAATGGTATTTATCTTAAACATACCATTCCAAGACTGTGCTTTTCTTTTTGGCAAAGCACTCTTTTAAAAGGCAGCTGGTCCATTTTAGATTCATCGTTTAAGTAATTTCTTTTTTAGATGTCTGCAGGTTTGCATCCAAAATGCCTTCTGCACTTCCAAGGTCATGATCCCATCAGTGAACATAAGCTCATCAATACCTTTGTGAGATGAACAGCCCCAGACTTGGAAGTTTCCACCTCTGCTTTACAGTACTCTTAGAGCACTCTGGTTATAATTTTTCTTCCATTAGCTGTGCTCAAAGCATTTTTTTCTAAAAGAAATGCCATTTTGTTAAACATTTTATGAAGTATCCTTAAGAATTTCATTCACATTCACCAATGGTTAAAGTGTCCAAATAATTTTGGGGGCCACTGTAGTCATTATATAAGCATGTAAACAAGCAAGAAAGAAAGTTAGTTACTTACAGTATATAGCAGATGACGCCTATGCTCCACATGTCTGTAGGGTAACTGATTGCTTCATAGTTGATCACCTCTGGAGCAACAAACTCTGGAGTGCCAAACAGGACCTTCAGTGAACCTGCATTTTCTGTCATTTAAGAGAGAACTACATTTCAGCATGGCTTACAGAAAGCTATGACAATGATTAGTTATCAGTGCACATAATGTATAGCATTCTTGATGCTTTGCACTCCTTAGCACTAAATATCAAGTAGACATAAAGTAATGTAATGGCTGAAAACAGGTTTCTATGGGTGTTTTAAAGTTAAATTCAACAAACTAAACCTAATGGTCACTTTATTAGAAACACTTCCTCATAGGCCTATCTTGTTGGTGTATAGCTGGAGACTTTAATCCATCTGTTGATGCACAGTTTGTGTTGGACTTTCCCTGGCCCTTCATTGATGGTCAGTTTCTAAACAATAAATTACTCTTAGCTAGATCTTTTTTTTTTTTACATTTTTTTTTCAACCCATCAGTGTGATATGCTACTGCACCCGATTAACTCAAACCAGTGCCAAACACCAACATGCCACTACCATATCAGTGTCAATGCTGTGTTCATAGTGGTCTAGCACCCAAATAGTATTTGTTTAGCAGTGGTCCTGTGGTCAGATGTTGAACGGGATAGAGGGCAACTGACAAATTATGCAAGAGAACAGTTGGGCTACAGTCTGTAATTGTACAGCTACACAGTGGGCCTAATAACTGTGCAAAAGTCAGGGATCATTTATTTCCAGTCAAAAGAGCCATTAAGTTCAGGCTATTCATTATTCAGGAGATATTTCTGAGGAAATTAGATATAAGATAATACACTTGCATAAGGAAAGTCACAGAAAAATAAGTGAGTTTCCAAAAGTGGAGTTCAAAATGAATAAAAGATACAGAGAAAATGGGACTCATAACAACCATGAAAGACCTTGTAGACCACCAAAACTGTCACCATCAGATAAACAGTACTTAAAGCTTTCATCTTTGAAAGATAAGAGTAAATAAAGCTCCACTTTTGGGTCAGATCTGAAAAAGTCTACAGGTGTTTCTGTCCATCCTTCCACTGTGAGAAGACAACTCAGCACTATGAGTCTGAAAAGATGTGTAGCTGTCAAGAAGTCCTTACTGAGAAAAGAAAATAGACAGAAAGGAAAAAAAAATCAAATAGCACAAATAAGCTGCTGGTGTTCTTAGAACAATAGACTGATCACCCGAGAGTCCAGATCTCAACAACACTGAACGTGTTTGGGATTACTGGATTGTAAGAAGCAGAAAATGCAACCAACTTCTAAGACTGAACTTCGGAGGTGTGGAGAAATTTCCCTGCAGATTTCTGTTTTCTGCTTTTTTCTTCGTGCTGATAAAGGCATACCAGTACTTTATGGTCATTTTGACTGTAAACTAAATAAATAAAATAAATAAAATACAGTCTCAGAATTTTGCACAATACTATATAAAGAAGGTGGTCAGTGAGTGTAAGTACAAGGTAGGCATTTCTAATACTGTGTAAGATAAGCAATATTCTTTACTTTTATTGGATTTTGTGTAGAATGTGTACATAATCGTTTGGCTTGTAAAACATGCTGAATTATTAATATATTCATACAGTTTTTTATAACTGCAGGAGATACCTAATCTTCGAGCAAGTCCAAAGTCGATGAGTTTGATTTTGCTCCCTGTTTTGTTGACACACATGATGTTCTCTGGTTTGAGGTCCAGGTGAACGATGCCTTTCTTATGAATGAAACTGACCCCATCCACAATCTGCAGCATGTATTTAATAACCTCTCTCTCTGTCAGCTCAAAATCTTCATCGATGATCCTCTCAAACAGCTCCCCACCGGAGATCCTGCAAAACATGCAGTCCAGACTGATTCATAGCACAGGAGGTATTAGACTGTCGCTTAATTATCAAAAGCTAAAGGAGCTCAGACACAGCCTAAAAGTTTAGACTTTGGTGTCAGTGTACTCTGTAATAATGACACATCTTTCAGGAACTGAGAGGAAACATGCATAAAATAACATTTCAGTTTTTTAAACTGGTGTTGACCTTGAGTTATGAAAAAAGCTGGTGTTCAGTTCTTCTTTAGAACATCTGTAAGGGCTTAAGGCCTTAAGGCAAGCAGGAGGTCAAAGTATAAACACTGACAGCATCGTTAAATGTGGACATAGAGGAAGAGGAGTCAAGTTTCGGAGTCAGGAGGGTTAAGTGGTGAGTTCATCTACATTCTGACTGCACTTAAATAGGATGAAGAGGAAACACTCAGATTCTTAGTCTGAGCTGCTTCTTTTTTATTTACATAGATCAACATTGCTGTTCTTAAGGAGCTTAAGTGAACATTCTCCATTACACAGTACAATACCTTAATTATTAAGGTGCCCAAAAGGAAGATTCTCATTGTTACAGACCAATAAGTCATCCTGGTCAACAAATCAAAGTGATATAAAGTTTAACCTTGTGAATTTTCCTTCAAGCTCTCTGTGCAGATTAGTCTGTAATGATATTTAAAAGGCCCATATCCTACATTTGTCTTGCATTATATTTTTTCCTGAGGTCCACACATATTTGTGTGAGTTTATGTACCAAAAACAGTCATAATTAATTTTACATGACCATTTAAAAGCCTCTCTTTATTCCTATAGAATTAAACAGGCTGTCTTTGCCACTGTGCCTTTAAGATTGATATATGTAAATGAGCTCTGTTCTGGTTGGATGCACTGTATTTTGCCTCAGTCAAATCCGGGCTGAAACACTCTTATAAAGCAGTGTGAATGGGCGCAGCTAAACAGGTTTAGGCTGAATAGGTGGATATGTGTTACTTTTCATGGCATCACAAAAATAATGAATTCAAACATTTTAAAACTTTAACAGTGTTTACATATTAAATCAAACAGTTATTTTGAAAAGTGAAGGCAATTTATTTTTCCCTGATATGAGCCATTTAACGAGTGCATTAATTTTAGTTTATGATAATAATGTAATCTGTTAATCTGATGATTAAAGGATAATTTTAGGATTTTCCAAGTATGATTGAAAAGAAGAATACTCACATTTCCAGCACCATGACAATGTCTGATTTTCCCTCAAAGGCATCAACACATTGCACGAGCTTTGGATGATGCAGGTCGTTCATGATTCCAATCTCTTGCCTGACGTTTTCTTTCTCTTTTGCAGAATACGCTTTTATAAATTTCCCAGCCCAGACCTTCTTGGTTGATTTCTCGATCAGTTTGAACACTGTTCCAAATTTACCCCTGAGACAAAGATTGAAACCCTAAATATTTACATGGATTATGCTCTCTTTCTGACATAAAATAATGGAACAAGACACTAGCATTGTAATTGTATCTGTGAAGCTTTGAATCCTTGTTCAAATGAATGAATCCAAAGCAAACAGTGCTTTGGAAACTCACGATCCCAGCCGCTCTTCCACATCATAGAGGTCTTTAACCTTCACATCTGTTCTGATGGTCACGTCTCTGTATTCAGGCACCTTCTCTGATTCTGCCATTATAAAAGTAGGGATTTACATGAGGAAGGGTCTTGAACACATTCATCAGTTACATATTCTACAGTGACAAAATCATTAAGAGAAATTCTCATTTTAAATATCCCTTCAAAATAACCAATTTCATTAGAACAGATCCAAAATCAAAAGCGTTATTGATAAGGTAAAACAACATACCATCATCTGAATGCTCAATCTCATCTTCTTTATTTTCTTTTGAACAAAAATGAAACAGAATGTTATGAAAATGTTACAAGTCATTACAGGGCAAGCTTGAGTATCGAAATGCATTGTTGAATTGTGTTATGCTCTTAGAATATTATGTTGTTATATATAATGTTATGATATTTTTGTTAATTACAATGTATTCTAATAATATTAAATTAATTAAACACAATCAATTTAAACCATTGAGGTTTACACCCCGAAGAGCAAGCCAAAGGTTTTTCACTCAAATTAAACTGAAAAAATTGGAATGCCCACTAGATGGAGCTCACCATCTTCTTCTTCTTCCAACCCCACTTCCACAGGTACAGACTCAGCACTGGGCTCCCCAACACCGTAGATATTCACAGCTCTCACACGGAACTTGTACTGCTGGTCAGGTAGCAGGTTCTGAACGTTGTAGGAGGTGCTGTTGCAGGACACCAGCTCCTTCCATTGCTTATCCACTGAGTTCCAAATCTCCAGGTTATAAGACTGGACAGCACTTCCACCATCATACGTGGGCCCGTACCAGGAGAGAGTCAGGCTAGATTTGCGGACGTCTGTGGCAGCTGGGATGCGTGCAGGAGGGTCAGGTTTGTCTGGAATGTAAAGTTGAGAAGTCACAGTCAAAATGGAATGTCTTATGAGTATCATAACCTAAGATATATCTTCTGAGTACATATATTGCTATATGATCTTGAGCAGCATGCTGTATGGCAGTACTGTCCTTGGCTATACCACTATGGTATATAGATGGCTGTAGGAGACGAAGCTTGCTTGGACAGTGCTGCATAAGATGCCATGGCCGGCATGTCAGAATCTCCTACAGAGTACTTACAGACTCTGTGTGGGAAAATCCACTTTGTGCAAAAGTGTCCAGACACCCTTTGTAATTAGTGAATTCAGCCACTTGAAGGTAGCTGACCAGTTTTTGACACAGTCATTCAATAGCTCACACACAGCATTTATAAACTCTATAGAAAAGCACTGGATGGAATGGAACACTCTGGAGCAGCTGCACATGAGCCTAAGGTCCCCGTGCCAAATGCAAAAAGTCAGCTAGAGGGGCATAAAGCCCCCCCCCAGTACTGGGTTATAGAGCAGTAGAACTGTGTTCCTTGGAGTGATGGAGCTCCATTGAGTACCTTTGGGATGAGCTGGAGAGCTGTTTGTGGTCCAGAATCAGTACCTGAGCTCATTAATGCTCTCATGTCTGAATGCAATCAAAGCCTTACAGCAATGTTTCAGCAGCTAGTGTGTTCTTCTTAGAGACTGTTACTGCAGCCAAGGGGGAATAAACTCTCTATTAATATCCCATATTGTGGAAAAAATGGATGAGCAGGTGTCTACAAACCTTTGGACTTAGAGTGTATAACTGTCTGAAAAACCCTGTTGATGGTCAGTTTCTAATATCCCTGCTGAGGCTTCAGCTACAGCAGACAAGACATCAGTGCCAAGTTGCAACCCACTACTGAGAGACTGAGTGGCACTATGATTGGCATGCTATGTTCTACTATGCAAATATTGACAGTACAGAGAAATGTTATTGTGTCTGCTTGTGTGAAACAGATGCTGAGGATGTGGATTAGAAACTGGACAGGGTCCCAAACTTGAAAAACAACACTGGCCAGAGGACTCCATTGCATTTTTGAGGTATCTCCCTGACAATTCACAAATGACTTTACATTTTGCTCTTTGATGTCTCTGAGACAGCGATTAAGGCACAGAAAAAACGGCCTGTTCTGTTCTGAATTTGGTCAACAGTTCAGCAGTTCAAGCTGCAGTTTACGCCAAGTAGTCTTTGCCAGTTGGCTATTTTAGTTTTTTTTTCAGTGTAATGGATGTTTGTGTATAACAGCTGTGTGAGTAAGAATGTGACTGTTGAACTGGTAGACAGGAACTCCAGCGAAAAATGAACTGCTTGTTACATTGAACAAAATGATGATGTGGCACACACAGTTCACTCTGAATGGAGAAGCTTTTTTAGAAGCTGCCTCTTAAATCCAAACTTTATTTGGATTTTGGGTCCTGGGCCAAATTTCTCAATGCAGTGAGGTGCTTATCTTTTGGCAAAAACACATCTTTTTGAAGCAGTTGTATAATATTCTTTCGTAGAGAACTTATGATCACATTAGTCAGTATTTAATGAACTGTGAAGAACAGAATGGGCTACACTTGCTAATCCATGATAAAGCAGTACAGTACAGGCCTTTCACAGAGTTTTGTTATTCTGGGCATGGAGACAAGGGTGATTTCAGCTGTGTGACAGGCTCTGTTAATGCATAATGACTAGAGTGTCTGTAACACCTTGAGCTAGTGTGGCCCAAAGTGGCAACGGTGCAGGGAGATGGAGTCTTACCCACGATAGTGAGGTTGAGGGCAGCTTGCCTCATGCCATAGTTGTTCCTGATCTCGATGGTGTAGCAGCCACAGTGCTCCTGCTGGCCACTTTCTATGGTAAGTTGACTGCTGGAATCTGTGCTCTCAATGGTGAGGTCACTTTTCCCCTCTTGAATCTGTGAAGAAATAAATGAGCACTCATTTCAAGGTTAAGTGTACAGAAAAAGGTGCTGCTACTATTAGGCCCTAAAGCACTGCATACATAAGCTTTAGATTTGGATTCTCAAATGGTATAAAATAACAGATTATTTCATACTTTAACACTATGAGTATGTCCCAAAGTTTGTAGACACCTGCGCATCCAATACTATTTAGTTTCCAGTAAAAACTGCCATTATGTATATGTTCTTCAATTTTTATCGTGAGAAAGAAAAACAGAAAACATGAAGAGTTTATTTGCAAAAACAGATCTTCATTTTAATGAATTTTCATAAATCATTTTTTCTGTTGTGCAGCTGGGTTGTTTTAAGTAAAAATAACTTAACAAAATACAGGTAACTTACAAAATCAAACTTTATTAAAAACTTTTTTTTATTTATTTAAATAATGTTTTTTTGTCAAAAGCAGATAACTCCAATGGTCAATTCATGTTTCAGAGTTAAACAAAGCCATTTAATGGATACAAGGTTCTTCTAAATGCAATATTTAACATTCGTTAACATAAAACAGGCAGGTAAAGAGCTGAGAATTGCAACAAAAATAGCCCTTTAATGGTCAATATTACATATATTATATATATCTCAGAAAATCCTAAGGCTGGATCTCAATTGGCTCAGTGCTACCTATATGCTCCACTATGTGAGTAATGAAATTTTGGCTTTTACACCCAAATATTGCACTTAATGTCCCATATGAATTGTGCACACATGGCTGAATCCAAAGTGGTTCTTCACTGTGCACTGTGTAGATGCAGTAGACATTACTTTAAGACCTACGTAGTGCACTTTGTAGGGAGAAGGGAGCCATTTAAGATTCTGCCTAAAAAGTTTGCGGCAGTGTTGCGTTACCCGACCTGAATACTGCATGCTGATACGCTAACCGGATTTATCGAGTTCTGCTCAAAAACAGCACTGGCGTTTGACCTGTAAAACGTGAACTTGCAACACCTTGACAGTGGATAATTCCAACGTTTGTGACAAAACGTATTTAGGGTTCAAAATGCGTTATGTCACTCATTTTTTAAAGGATGGCATTTATCATTTTTTTTACAAATGAACAAATGATCATATATTTAACAGAAAATGACTCAGGAGCCTCAAAAACCTTTTATTTTCCACATCGCCACAGTTCAGGCCACGGTTCAAGTTGGTTGCATTTTCTGCTTCTCACAATCCGAAGTAATGCAAATTACAAATTTAGACTCACAAGTCCATAAAACCTTATTCCATATCACACCTATCCAGTTTTGGTGTTCTATTGCAAATTTCCTTTTTTGTCTATTTCTTTCAGACCCACAGTACTTTCTTTTCTTCTTAGAGTGGAAAGATGGACAGAAACACCTGGAGCTTGGAGCTTGATTTTCTCATCTCCGTCTCTCAAAAACAAAAGCTTTGAGTACTGTTTATCTGTACTGTGACGGTTTTGGTGGTCTATCATGGCCTTGCATGGTTGTTAGGAGCCCCATTTTCACAATGTCCTTCAGTAAATGTTTGAACTCCAGTTTTGGAAGCTCCTGTTCTTTCAATTATTTTCTTTTGACTTTCCCCTTCCTCATGCAAGTGGATTACCGTATATCTAATCTAATATCTAATTTCCTCAGAAATATGTCCTGAAAAAAGGAATAATTTGTACTTAATTTCTGTTTTGACTGGAAATTAGATAAACGAATGGTGGTCTCTGACTTTTTCATAGTACTGTACTCCACTAGAAGGGTCTGCTGAAACTGCTGAGTGAACATTTCAGTTAGATATTAAGCGGATACAATTTGTTTAGATATTAAGGGGATACTAGTTATTTCAGCTGGCAAGGTGGGTTGATGATCGATAGCAGACAGATGGGTGAAGTGCTTACTGGTTTGCGGAACTTGAGCCAGTTGCAGCTGAGGGGTGGAGTTCCAGTGAACTTGCAGAGGAGATTAACCCGCTCACCTGCCAGGATCTTCATATCATCAGGAAACTGCAGGATCTGAGGTGGAACACCTGAAACACACATAAGCACGTGTGCATCCACCGCCCACACAAACACTCATGCGCACACACAAAGAGCCTGCAACAGCTGGTACCAGTCTGATTGAATGCATATCCTAATGTAAGTGCATGCTCTCAGGGGCCAAGTGTGTTATGAGGTAAACAAAGCTTGGATAACTCCAGAACTCCAAAGACAGATAATGTGCTGTGGGCCAAAGAAGGAGACAAAGCCTTATTAAGGCATGACTAACCTTACTGAACTCACATCACAGGCATGCTTGGCCACATTTCATTTCAAAAGGACCAAATAGATTTGAAGAGAAAAAGATAAAGACAGCCTGATCTCTCCATAAAATTAGTGTTTGAGTGATTGCTTTTCTGAACAGGATGCTGTTACCTTGTTTAGGAGGCGTTTTTGGTGGCGGCTTCTTTATTCTGGCCTCATCTGGAAAAAGAACCGAGACAGATGATGAGGTCTAGTGCATGAGGCAACTCTGTGGTACACTGAGCCTCAACCATCACACAACTACCACAAGTAACTGTAAGGAAATGGCTTTAGCATGTGTTTCTTCATTTCAAGCTGATTATCATGTGTCTGATGTATGGATGAAACACTGTTTGGTGGAAACATCATGTGTTATAATGTGCAGAAATAAAGTTAAGTCTTGAGGGTTTACTCTTCACTGTAGTTTCACAAAACACTAAAAAAGTATATAACATGTACGCACACTTATTAAAGAGCCCATATGGTGGAAAGAGAGTTTGATGTTGTACGTAAACACTGTCTACATCAAAACATATTCTTTACTTCCCATCCATACATTTCATACATTGAAACTAATCTGCAAAAAAAAGCCAGTTTTGTATTCACTCTTTTTGTGATGTCACAGAAATAATACATTTACAGTTATATGCAAACTTTTTGGTGCCCTGGGTCAAATGACATTTTGTTGATTTTTGTTAACACATCATCTACAGAGAACACACTTTTACACATTATGGTTTATTTGCTGAATATAACATATTGGAGAAAAATACAACATAAAGCACTGCCCTGTGCAAAAGTTATGGCACATTTAATATTGTATGCTGTATTTTTTTCAATGTGTTAAACTTAGCAAATGAATAGAAATTGAGCATGAAAATTTGCAGACAAAAGCCACATTTAAGTTTGTTCCTTGTAGAAGATGTGTTAAATTATTTTTGCTTAGAAAATCAACAAAACATGTAATTTGACATTTTACAACAGTACATATATCCACCTATTCAGCCTCCAGCAGTTTATCCCCTCCCATTCATGCTGACGTTATAAGGAGTGTTTCAGCTTGCACTGCTTTTTAATACAACACAGCCATTTGGAGCAGTTTTAAGAGCTCATTTACATATATTGGTCTTAAAGCTACAGTAGAAAAAAAGAATTTTGACTGTTTTTTGGAACATAAACCCACACGAACACTGCAAGTGGTCTTTAAAGACAAAAAACCTCAAGAAAATGTAGGATATGTGCTCTTTTAATCACAATACAAGTGGAGCATTAGCTTCACTCAGGCAGAAAGCTCTCTGCATGGATGTATACTGAGAAATGGGCATACACTCAATAGTCTGATAAGCAAACTCTGGGAGAAAGCCTTGTTCTCCTCTGGATGTCCTGAGAGAGATCAGCTGCTTCTGTCCTTTTGTGTTTGCCTTTTTTGGTCATACTAAAAATAGTTCCCAAAGAATCCAGGAAATAGTTCTTGGCACTATTTATTTTACATCTGATTGCTGTCATGAAACAATGTGCTAGAGAGGTGAACTAATGCAATCACCAAGCAACAGCAGCACCCAAATCAGTCTAAAGCAATTAGAACTTTAAGCTGAACGTTTTTTGTGAGAGTCAGACATTCCTCTGCTTTTTTCTGCTGGATGGGCTACCCTCCCGTCTTTGTGGAAACGAAAACATCCCTTTTCCAACACAAAACTATTTCTGCTTCACGATTCCCATCTCTCTGACACTGAAATGGGCTTCTGATAACAATCAGCAATTTGTACAAAGCAAGACATTTCCACATTTCCTTGTAAGCAAAGTTAATATCACAAGGCAACAACAAACAGCTCCAATTAACAGCATGAAAGGAAATAAAGTGTCCAGTAGAATATTACTATGCTCGAGAGCATTTCTGAGGCAGAAAGGACTTATGCAAGCATTTGTGCTCTTCAGATGTAGAATAATAATGTTTTAGCAGTCATTATGATTCCACTGATCCCCACCATCAGTCTAATGTAAAATGTAGATACAGAGAGTTTCAGAGATTGTTTCAGCCTGCTGATATCAACAGATTTACAGATTCATTCAGTACTAAGTCATTCACTACTACAGTACATTATTAGCTTTTGAGCAATAGAATTAATGAATGTACTTTCAATAGGATGAACGATCAGCAGAGCTCGATTTGAGGGGGATAAAAAGTAAAAGCACGTGATTGTACACAACCACCTCTTTTGTAGGAGTCTGCATTTACATGTAGAACTCTTGCAGTGGGTAAATATCATATACTGATTTAATGAAAACATCAATAAAAGACTTCTTAAGTAAGATCACATTAATCCAAAAGGGATGGAAAGAGGGGAATGGTTGTTTTACAAGGGTGATGATGATTTGGGGAAGGGGGGCTGAGTAAAATAAGTAAAATCACATGCTTTCACTTTTAATTGGTCTTGCTGTGGAGAGTTTGGTAAAGCGTTCCCATCAAACTGAGCTAGTTTGAAAACTCTGTCACAGAATTATGGCAAAATCTTTCAAAGAAAAGCAGGTGAAATAATCAGGGTTAATCAGTGAGGGGTGTTTTAAGTTAATACAATTCAAAATTAGAGCTTCAAATCTCCAGGAATTATCTTACTGTGGTCATAGCATAATTATGCATGACTCATCGTGCTAAACAGCCAGTCGCCTCTTACTTTTACTGCAATACTTTGTTCTGTTTTTTTTTAAATAAGCAATTGAATCGTTTAAGATTTTAAAATGTCAGCTTGGCCTATTAAAGAGCAAGTGATGTTATTTATACTACAACTTTGGCCAATAGTATTGGAACTGTGCTAGTGTGTTTCAAGTATTCATTTAGCACACACTGAGCTTCAGGATAAAATAAGGCAAATAAAAAGTGATCTTTGGCCAGTTGGCTGGAATCAAAATCAGCCATAAAAAAACAAACAGTGCATCCATTGTTTTCAATCATTTCTACTGGCATGAAACCGGACAGCAACTCAACACCAAAGATCACGGAAATGGTCCTGTCAGTCTGCATATGAATAAAGACAGCTGACCAAAGCATTCTTCTAGTGAATGAACTGAGGAAGGCTTTTACAGCAAAGCAAACATGCTGTTGAATAGCCAAACAGTAAATAAGACAATATGTCGACAAGAGAATGAGAATGACATTAAAAGATTATCTAAGTTATCATTATGCCTGCAGCCCAAAGCTTTTGGTGCCTGAACTAGGGTCTAACCGATATACTCATATACTGATATACTGATAATATTACCTGATATTGATGTCCTACAGACTTATCAGTACCAGCAAAAATCCCACAGAATAACCACTGATATACACCAAGCCACTGGCCACTTCATTATGTACACTTCCTTGTATCTACCTTCTTTGTCCATTTTATCAGCTCCACTCACCATATAGATGCACTTTGTAGTTCTACAATTACAGACTGTAGTCCATCTGTTTTTCTGTTGTTAGGCCCATTTTACCTTGTTCTTCAACAGTGAGGACCAACAGGACCACCACAGAGCAGGTAACATTTGGGTTGTGGATCATTCTCAGCACTGCAGTGACACTCATGTGGTGGTGACGTGTTTGTGTGTGTTGAACTGGTATGAGTGGATCAGACACAGCAGTGCTGCTGGAGTTTTTAAGCACCGTGCCCAGTCATTGTCAGAGACAATGGCTCATCTGCTGCTGTACAGTTTGTGTTGGTCATCCTCTAGTCCTTCACCTGTGGTCACAGGATGCTTTTGGCTGGATATTTTTAGTTGGTGGACTATTCTCAGTCCAGCAGTGACACTGAGGTGTTTAAAAACTCCAGCAGCACTGCTGTGTCTGATTCAGCACCAGCACAACAAACACAAACACACTGCAACTATGTCAGTGTCACTGCAGTGCTGAGAATGATGTGGTGGCCCTGTGGGCGTCCTGATCATTGAAAAACAAAGTGAAAGGGGGCTAACAAAGTTTGCAGAGAAACAAATGAACTACAGTCTGTAACTAACCTACAAAGTGTACCTATATGGTAAGTGGACCTAATAAAATGGACAATGAGTGTAGATACAAGATGTACATGGTGTACTGAATGAAGTGGCTGGTTGGTGTATAGTGAAGTGTTTTGTATTGTAATGAAAAACTTTGAGGCAAATCCTTTATCTCTGAGTATGTATGCCAGTCTCTGAAAACAAAACACCACAAAATAAAAAAAAAAAAAGATAAAAAAGTTATGTTGTAATCAAATACCAATCATATATGTCAATAAAGCACTGTTCTAATAAAACTACTTGAGTCTGTATAATTTCAATCATATTAAAAGATATAGTACATACTGGATATTATAACTGGTCACTTAATTTTCATAGTAGTCAGGCCCTTGTCTAAACTTCTGCTCTGAAAGTGTCTGTAATGGGCTCAACATTCCACATCAGCAGCTTTACCTAAGCCATTAAGGGGATCTTCTCCCTGTGTAGCAGACATTTAAAGGCTTACCAACAAGGACAATAAAAAGTGCCTGGACTTAGTCAAGCATAAAACAGTTGCTCTAGGATTCAACTGAAGCATAGCGAAGCTGTCAGAACCAGTTCAGAGACACTACCTTTACCATTCCACCTCAAAACCCTGTAGTTCTGTTCTCACATGCACAAAAACACAAGCATGCACATGAGCATGAACACATGCAGGCACACATTCTGCAGATGCTCTGATATTAGAAGACCAAAGTGGTAATTCTGCTTCTGAATTTGGTGCAACGTCAAAGGATTCAGAGCTGTGAATGTCAGAGTCGGCAAACAGCTTTCTGATGAACCATGTTTTTAATATTAAATGTATTATTTGCACTAGCATTCTTTGTAAACAATGAAAAAAGAAAAAACTTTATATGACATTTTTAAAGAAATGGTTCCAATGAGCTGGATCAATGTTTTCAATCACATATAAAACAAATATGACTGCAGGTAAATGTATAAAACAATACTAATATGCCAGTCCTAAACAACTTCACAGGTTTCAGATAATTAGTAGGACAGTAAGGGGACATAAATTTAAATGTTAGATATGTCCATAATGATATACAGAGGTTTAGAAGAAAACAGTGCAATATTGAAAATTCAGTTATAATTAAATTAATATCCAGACTTTAACATATTTAAAAGTATATTATTATGAATGTAAATACATAATTACAGGAGAGTAT